GAGGGAAGGTGGGATTTACTCTTAAGGAGAAACTTAATATTCTTAAATCTAAGTTGAAGGAGTGGAACAAGGAGGTGTTTGGTGTCATTGAGTTTGATGTGGAAAAAGTTGTGGGGGTTCTTAATTCTCTAGATTTGTTTGTAGCTAACTTAGGAGGAGGAGGTGTGGATGAGGAGGTGGCAAGTGCTAGGTCGTTGGAATCTAAGGAGGTGTGGGATACTATATTGTTTAGGGAGAGTGTCTTGAGAAAAAAAATCTAGATGTAATTGGATTAAGCTTGGAGATGCTAATTCTAATTTTTTTCATCCCTACATGAAAGGGAGATTTCAGAGATATAATCTGGTGGGGTTAGATTCGGAGAGAGGGAGGCTTCAAAAGGTGGAGGTAATTAAGAATGATATTTTTAATCACTTTAAAAGGAGTTTTTTCCGAGTTGATGCAGGTTAGACCAGTTTTGGATGGAGTGGAGTTTAACTGTTTATCTAATGTGGATAGAGTTTCTCTTGAAGCTCCACTTTATTTGGAGGAGATTTAAGAGGTGGTGTGGCTGAGTGCTTGCATAAGAGTCTGGGGCCGGATGTATTCCCTCTTGGTTTCTTTGAGAGGTGTTGGTATTTTGTGAAATATTGTGAGGTTTGTGCAGGAATTTCATGATAACAGTTTCCTTCCTAAGGCGGCCATTGCATCTTTCCTTGCTCTTATTCCAAAAGTTGCGTCTCTACTTCGAATTGAGGATTTTCGTCCCATTTTTTAGTGGGTTGCTTATATTGGTTGATTTCAAAGTTGTTGACGGCTAGGTTTAAAATGGTGATTGGAAAGTTAGTTTCTTCTATTCAAACAACTTTCATTGAAGGTCGTCGGATGCTAGATGGGGTGCTTGTGCTTAATGAGGTGTTCGATTTTGCTAAGAGATCTAAGAGGAAGCGCTTGGCCTTGAAGGTTGATTTTGAAAAGGCTTATGATTGTGTTTCTTTGGACTTTCGTAGGCATTTCTTGCGGAGTATGGGTTTTGGTTCTAAGTGGTGTGAGTGCAACTACACTATTAGATGTTTTGCATGATGTCAAAACTCGGAAAGCTAGCATTTCAGTATGGTGGATGATATCCTTATGTCTTGTGGCACTCCCTTGCATTAGAGGTCTTAATAATTATTTAAAACAACTTTAAAATTGGTCTCAATCATGAAAAATCAGTTTTTGTATAAAATCAACATTTATGTGTCGACCTGAAATTTGCACGTGTCGACACATAAATTAAGCATTTATGCATTTTCTTAAAAGTTTCAGAATTTTCGACACATACGATTTATAGGTAGACACACATAATGGATTATTAAAGCCTTCATCATTTCTGCTTTAAAACACAGGCACATGTGTCGACACATACAATTTTCAGGTCGACACATGTACTGCATTTTTAAAGTCTGTAGCTACTTTTTATATGTGTCGACACATAACTTTTTTAGGTCGACACATATTGTTTTGTGGGTAATTTTCTCATAATTGTTTCATTCCGAAACTATCCTTTTTTACCTAAAAAGAGTCTAACTATAAATATATCATTCATGCATCATTCATAACTCGGTGATACCATAAAATTAGCCTACATTTCTCTTCATCTTCAACCTCTAACCTATACATACACACTGACATTATATTGTGATGATGTTCCATTGGGGTACCATTTAGACAAGGATTGATAGTTTTCAATTAGGTATTGGGTTGAGCTTTGTAAGGATCTTCATCCAAGAAAAAAATGCAGGTTTGTCCTCCAAGATCATTGATTGATTTGGGGGTTTTCGTGTAAGACGTTCAAGAGGTAATTGCGGACAAGTAAAGTCCTTTGGATATAAAGAAAACAAGGGATCCTTTGGAGATAAAGAACTCAAAGGAAGTAGCGAGATAACGGAGGATTACAATTGAAGTCTTGTGTTTCAATAATTTGAAATTGACGGTGCGCGTAAGCTTTAGAGATAAAGAATCCAAAGTAGTAGTAAGATCTAGAAAAAAATAACTTTGATTGACATGAATTTTAGTAAAACTAACTTTGCAGTAACATGTTTCAACTTGCAGATTTAACATGTTGAATGTGATGTCCTAATCAGAAGTATATGACATCTGGTCTGTGACAGTTTTGCAGTTTGAAAATGTTTCAACTTGTTGTTTGAACATGTTGAATGGGATGTCCTAACCAGAAGTATAAGACATCAGGTCTGCTACAACTGATAGTCTGGATTCAGTTGTTGTGATTTAATTATTGAATATTATGGGAATATTTAGTAATCCTATATGGCTTCCAAGATTGATAAATCTGAGATATTATGTTGGTGTTTCAAGATATTCCAACTTTCTAAATATGGAGACATTTTAGAAAAGTTATGATTGAAGATCTATTTTCATGAAGAAGTTTTTGTAGACCTTGTGCAGCCTCTCTGTTGTGTTTTTGAAGCCCAAATCCAGTTGGGAAATGTTATAAATAGAAGTGTTTGTAACCTAGTTTGGTACCAGCTGTGAATTAGAAAGATATAATATTATTAGGGTTGAGTCTGTGCCACTCTCTAGGAGAGTTGGTTTATGTGTTCCACTCGATTGTAAGTTGGACGGATGTTATAGAGTTGCAGTTTCTATTATTGTTCTCCTCAAAGCCTTTAAGCAAGAAGTAGTATTATTCTTGGAGGAAGCTTGTAAGCAACTCTAAGTATTGTTCTTAGTCAAGCGAGTCTTGTCTAGGTATTATCATGAAAGTGTGTCTTCTAGTTTTATTATCATAGAAGTGTGTCTTCCTGTTTTATATTTGAAGTGTGATCTTCATTTAGGTGAAAGGTCATTGATACAGTAATTGGGACTGTGACTGTTAGACATTATTGTAGTGATTGGAGGTGAGATGGAATTTCTCATCTAGGGAGGACCTAGGTAGAAGTAGCACGGAGTAGCGATTAAATGATAAGTTATAAATGGAGGAGTTTAGCTTTGAATTGATATTGTCTAGTGGATTTCCTTCCTAGATTGGTATGCCTCCAGAGTAGGAGAGTTTCTCCAAACTAGGTTAACAATTATGTGTGTTGTTTATTGCTTTTCAGTTCTGTTAATGTTTGTTTATACCTTTCTTGTGTGTTTTAAGTCGGATCAGATGTCCCAACATGTCATAGGACATCTGAAGTCTGATATACCAAAGTTTTAGCATTGCGTTATCAATTGAATTGTAAGTAATTTTCTGAACTATTTTTTGATTTACATCAAGTGTTGATATTACTCATAATCACTTTTGATTATAAGTGATTTTGTGTGTCAACACAACTTAAAGGAAAATTATGAAAATTCACTTGCACACCAAGTGTTTGACAAATTGTTTAGCTTGTTCAACTCAAAAGAAAATTGCAATGTTCTATCACTTACTCTCATTTACTCTCTATGTGCAATTTGTTGAATGTGTTGCTTAACTGATCAATTCGTATAGAATTTTTCTTTGATTGTTAAAGTTTAAATTGCTTTGTTGATTAGCTTATAATAAATTTGATTGTAAGTGCTTTTTCATTATCAACTAAGTTAAAAGAAAATTCTGAAAAATTGATTGCGCGTGACTTGTTTGATAAAGTGTCGAGTTATGTTTTTAATATGATTTTATTGGAAATATGAAACTGTTGTGTTTGATATTAAACTATTAATTGAGATATTATTATGTTGATTAATTTTATCATGTCGATCTCAGTTATATCCCCCTCAGGAGTAACTCCTAAGTACTCCACCAACATATCCAACGCCTCCTCTTTGGTACTTCCAGTTTTAGTCAAGAACGAAATCGGAGATACACTTCTGGTACGACCTGCAACTTAACAAGTTCGTCAATGGTGAAGCTGTTAGTCAATGGTGACAAAAAAACAAGCATTGATCGTCAAAATGACATGGCTAACACTTCCGTATTGACTTCAAATATTGCAAGAACTAAAAAAAACTACATTTTACTACCCTAAAAGACAATTTGTATGTAAAATCAAAATAACTCAACAATGCTCAAAAACAACTTACAATGATTGATTCTCCTTGATTGATTCAGATTATGCTTGATGATTTCCTTATTTGTTGAGATAAATTGTTGGATTTTGAAACATTGAGTGTTTTTTTTTTGTTTTGTTTTTTTTTTTGCTGCAAATGAATGAGGAAGGGGAAGAGGTGGCGCGGATATAAGTCAAATTATAAATTGAAAATACACAAGTAGTTGAGAACCGGTGCTACATATCCGGTTCGTTCCAACGTGGTAGTTTCATTTAGAGTGTAATCGGAAATACAACGTCAGTTTGAGAATCATAAATACACTTTCGATTTGTATATTGTTTTTCATATAATTGAGTGCACACCGGAGATGCATTTTTTATTCCTAGAGACAATTTTGGAATTTCACACTGGTGCTTAAGAAACAGATAGTATGCATTAAAAAATACTTTTTTTTTCAAAAAGGGATTTGACTTCTTTTGCGGCCATATTCATACATTAACCTCGTATATGTGAAATTGCAACCATGTAATGTAATGAATAAAATCAGATAATTATATCTGTTAATTTTAAATTTTAAAATTGATCTCATAACTTTTATTTATTTTTCTATTTCATAGTAGTTATTTATTTTTCATTAAAAAAATTAAGTAACTTAATTTACAAAATTTACAATGATATATTCCCTTCTATTTTCAAGAATAGTCCCATATTTTACAAAAACTATGACAATTAACTAAGTTCTTTTATTTCTTTATTTTCACTCATAATAACATTTTCACTATATCCTAACAAGTGAAATTCACGTGGATTAACAAAATTATGCATCTATATAAATTTCAATTAAAAGAAAACAGTGATAAAAATGTATTAAAACGTGTGTCAGCTAACATAACACTACCCAACAAAAAGGGCCAATACGTAAGAACTTTTTTTTTGTAGTGACCAGTAATAACCTCTTGTCTCTATCCTTACTTCATTTCTTCATCACATTTTCCTGTTACATTTTTCATTCAGGGTTCTTCAGCCAGCTTTGGAGAACAGTATGCAACAGCCTCTGCGACTGTGAGGAAGATCTTGTCTTCACCAAGAAAATTTGCAAAGTTGGACGTGTGGAGTTTGTCTATCACTAATGGACCGGGATTCGCCAAAACAAGCTGCTCAAAATCAAGGTACATTTTTAGTTACTATATAGACCAGATACATAGATTATTACAGATGCTTATGTTGCAAGCGTAAGCTGTTTATCCAAACAATATAGTAGTTTGGTTACCTGAACTTCTCTCTTCTGAAGACTCCTAAATAACTCTTCCAGGGCATGGATGCCACTGGTATCAATATCAGTAACAGCTGAAAAAATTAAAAAGTTTGAGTGTAAGCATAATTGATCAATAATTATGTGGCTAGATGAGTTGAGGATAAAGGAAGAATATAGAGAGACTCACGTGACATCTCAACTATCAAAAACTGGATTCGTGTTTGGTACTCTCTTTTCACTCGTTCTTCCTCGTCCATCAGCCATCTTAATATCCTGCAACAGAAAATAGTACAATTTGGTATTAGAAATAGGCTTTAATATTGTCAAAAAGAAAGGAAAATTATCATTTTATAATACTATTCTTCAAATTTATGTTCTGTAGAACTAGAACATAAAACAAGCCTTAACACTGTTGTTACCTTTCTTTAACATAATTGGAGTTGGAAAAATATATTGCAGAATCAACTCTTATAATCAATACACCAGGAACACTTGTGGCCTCTGGATATTGCTGGATGTTTCTATACACAGTTGTCCTAGGGATCTTCCCTAGAATAGCCGTTCGAGGCCTCGTGACTTGCAATAGGATCTTTGCAAAGGATATAGAAACCTGCCACAACATGTAACAATAATAACCAAATAAATACTTGTACCAATCAAAAACTAAATTTGAAATTATGTGAGAGAATAATAATAAGATAACTTAGTCTTGGTACATACAGCAATCAAAAGTCCTATCTCAACCGAGGCAAAAACGACCCCGAAAAATGCTCCCATGCAGGCAACAAAGTCAAATTTATCAATTTTCCATATCAAAATAGCTGCCTTATAGTCTACAAGGTTGATGACGGCACAAATGATAATTGAAGCAAGAATGGCATTTGGAGTGTATTTGAAAAGAGGTGTGATGAATTGGAGGGTTAAGAACACAACAACAGACATGACAATATTAGAGACCGCAGTTTCACAGCCGGACATGTAATTTACTGCTGACCGGGAGAAAGAACCTGATGATAACAAGAGAAAGTATATCAGCAGATAGGTAATAAGCCCTTCATTGGTTTGTAGTATAAAGTATTAAAATGAACTTTTAAATGCCGGTTAGAATTTATGTTACAGATTATCGGATATGCTTTAACACTTTCTCAATCTTACCAGTTGCTACATAACAGGAAGTCATTGAACCAACGACATTCATAGCTCCTAATGCCACCATTTCTTTGTTTCCATCCACCTGATAGTCCTTCATAGAAGCAAATGTTCTTCCAATTGCTATGGCTTCCTGATAACCAAAATGCAACAGGTTATCATAACAGCACAAGTATATGGTAAAATACTCTGAATGATTAAAAATCTCAAAGATTGCTTACAGTCAAAGCTATCATGCCAGCCACAATGCCAATTCTAACACCTTTCGCAAGGTAGTCACCGGTAAAATAAATTTCCTTCACAGATGAAGGATTGATCCCTTTCTCTATATGGTTTACCTACACACATCAATAGACAAAAAAACCTTAACTATTTTGGATAAACAACTAATTAAGCGTTTATCATATAAATTATTATGCATAAGCTATAAGCTACTTTCCTAAGCTATCTTGGAGTGTTTATTGAAATAAGTTGAAAATAGTTTATGGACGTGTAATAAATTGTTTCCATAAGCTCTTTCATATAGCCTTACAATTACTTGTGCAAGTAGATAAGCTCCTACTATTAGTCAATCCAAGCATGTACATACTTTTACAAAAACCAATACAACTATTATCTGCAATGTTCCGGATAAGAGAAGGGCTATATATACTTACAATCGCAACACCATGCTTGTCTGCTCGGGTTATGTAAACGAAAAAAGTTGAGAGTACAACAGATACCAATGGAGCAATTGCCGGCACCCAGAAGTATTTTTGGCCCTTCTTTCCCTGATCCACAATATATCATATTATGATTAAAAAATGATTTACAATCTCAATAATCTGTCAAAGAAATGTATATAAAACGGATAGGAGTACTTACAATATGCTTGGCAAACAGAAGAAAACAAAGAAAGGTAGCTCCAATTAATATAGTTTGCCAATTCCACTGCAGTATGTTAGATATTAATCAGCTTTAGAATTTTCACAACCCAGACACAAATCTTAAAATCTCATTATTGATTTTCGTGTGCACAAGTACAGAGAAAGGGAAAGCATACTCCATGATGGGCTGATGAGAACACTGAATGCATCACAGAGATTACATCGGTTTTCCTTGTGAACTTTTCAATCCCAAGGAAACCCTTAAGCTGTTGAAGAGCAATTGTGATGGCTGCTCCCCCCATAAAACCAACAATTGCAGCATGCGATAGAAAATCAATCAAAAATCCTAACCTGGTTCAAAAGTCCACCCAATTGAAATGTCGTAAGCATGAGAGATTGGTAGTACATGTATGCATTAACACTAGCTATGTAGCACCAACCCTTCCCATCATTAATGGTTACATTCAATCACTTTCATTTTCTTAAAGTATTACCAGTGTTAGTGAGGTGTTCAGTGTCTCCTATGTTCGTGTTTCATAGAACAGTACTAGTAGTGCTAGAAAAAATCAATTGCAAATTCCCTTGGAATCAATATGTCATACCTAAAAATGCCAAGAGTTGCCTGCGTAATCCCAGCAAAAAACGTCGCAGTAAAAGCGAGTCTTCTATACTCTGTAGGATTTGTTTTGGGATCAATCTCATTTTGAAGTAAAGTCCCTAACAAGAGAGAAATCACCGCTACTGGTCCTATTGCAATATCGCGTGAACTACCCATAACCGCATAAATCAGTGGTGGAACAAAGCTGGAGTCTGAAAAGAGCAGAACAAAACACAACAAAATCTCAGTCTTAAAGCCAAAGCAAAACACAAAAAACTTGGTCTGGTGATGAGAAACAAGAATCTTACAAAGTCCATACTGTGGAGACAAATTAGCAAGCTTTGAGTATCCAATGTCCTGTTTTCAAGCCAAATATCAAAACATTAAAAAACGGGGAAAAGGGCAAGTAATCAATTACAATCTCACAGTTGTCTGAAAGATCAAATTCAACATTTTGAAGTAAACTTACCTGAGGAATGCAGAGACTCGCAATAGTTAAACCGGCAATAAGATCCCCTCTAAATTTTTGAAGGTTATAAGTTCTTCCCCAACTAAGTATAGGGAATATGGCTTCAATTCCCAGAACGAACTTCCGGGACTTTGTCTGATCCTTGAAAGGCCGTAGAGGATCGTCTGAGAAGAATGTTTCTTTTACGGTGTATAGGAATTCCTTGAAGAAGCTTTGTTTTGGAGGAATTCCAACCTTGTGCACGTATGGTTCCTGTCCATTTGAAGACAAACTTCTGCCATCCATCTCTTTTGTTTCAACATTTTCATCAGCTGGATGACTCATTGAGGACCTCAACACCGACTTTCACTGTAATTCACATGAAAAACGTTTATCTATTAGCTACCAAAAAATAGTTTAACAACGATATTATTATTAATTAAAGTGATACTAATGACAATTTTTTTACCAAACTAACACATGATAGATTCATAAGACGAATTTAGTTTATATTGCATTCTATCAGGCTTCAATAGGCTATATACACTTCTATAATTCTAGAGATTCACAGTTAAGTACACCAAGCTACATACAGCGATGGTGCATAACACAAATGAAGAACAAAATAAGGTACATACATAAGCATGCACCGTCTGAAAAGGATGGGAATCGATCTTACCAACTAAGCAATAATTCAGAAACATTAAACCAACCTGAATGAAAGGGATGGGAAGCTCACAGAAGAGTGTAACTAACTGGTCAGAACTTTCAAGACTTGTTGAGAAGCTACTTTGCTTTATATAACTCAAGTCAAAAGTTGGGGCTGGCTGAAAGAATAAACGTAGCAAAATAAGCGCGAAAGCAAATCACAAACGTCAATGTCATGAATAGTTAGAAATTTTAAATAAATAGTAGCAGGTTAGTGTTAAACCGTGACTAACAGCTTATGGAAGACTTAGAAATTAAGGTTCTCATGTAGGAATCCAATTGTTTACTTCTAATGAAAAATGCTTAGGACTAAGAGGATATATATAGTGTGAGAATGAGCAAAGACTACTTAGCAACAGGAAACTTTTACTATTATTATTATAATAAATTATTAAATCATAAGACAACTTGTAATTGTTTTCCTTAATCAATAACAAAGAAGTCAAAAAAGTGAAAACAAAGAGAAGTTGAACTTTGGTTTATGTCATTACTAACAATTTCACTAACACTTGTCTTGGATTCTCATGCCAAATTTGGAGGCTGATTTAATCAAAAGAAAAACTCAATTTCATATCTGATTATGTGCATGTATCTTACAAGTACAGTGTGTATTTTGCTTAACTTAGTTATCACAAACATTCTTGAAATTGTACACAGAATAAGTAATTCTAAGGATACACATACGATAACATTGACACCTACTTGAAATTGTACTTACAGAATAAGTAATTCTATTGATTACAAATTTTACAAAATCTTATGTTTATGTCTTGGAATTCCGATCTGACTGTTATAACAATTTAATGGCTTCAACATGTGAAACACCAATACATCAATGAAAAACAAGACCCTGTTTATGTTGTTTCTTAGGAATAACATTCCAGCTTCACAGTATTTGAACTTAGGACCTCTCACTTAAGAGTACCATGTACATATTCATTCACCCTCTGCAAACATAGTGAGGTACCAGAGAGGCAACTTCTTTGAGTTAAACCTTAATAATGTTGTTTGACCAAGAAAGAAAAACACTAACAACAATCTTGCTTGACCCATCAATAGCAATGCTCAATAAGACAACCATAACTAGTGTGTTTGAAAAACACCAAAATCATGAAAGAAAATCATGGTGTACTAGAAATTATACACTTAGTGTGTGTTTGGTTACACTATAGTAAAATTAGATTTTGCAAAATTGATCTATGTTTATATTTGTTCATGTAAAATGGAGTTGAACAACAAATTTTATACGAAAAATCAACTGCATAGGCAAAACTTCTAAACTCTAGTTTCAAGTTAGAATGAAATCTGAAAAACTGAATTCTACTCAACAACATTCAGCGTGTGTTTGGTGCAGTGAAAAAAAATGATTCTAAATGAATTAATTCGGGCTAAAAATGAGTTGAAAGCTATGTAGCACTGACACCTCTGAAAAAAGACGTGTCTGTGTCGGATACTTGCACCGACACTTGTGATTACGTTTTATTTATTCATATTTTCAAATTATTACTGGTGTCGCTATGTTAGTGTCTGGATCATGTTTGGGGCGTATGTGCTTCATAGGTAGAAAGTAAAGTGATTTATGTTTGAATAAATTTTTGCAAAAGTGAGTTGAATCATGTTCAGACTCAAAAACTACAAATCCTAGCTTTAAATAGAATCAATTCTGAAAAGCAGAATCATTCATACTCGGCAGCAACCGAACATGTCAAAATCAATTATACACATCCAAAATCAATTCTAATTGCTCCAACTATGAAACAAAACACACTTTCAATCATGTCCAGAATCAATTCTTAGAATTTAAAAAAAAAAGTGAAATCAACCATACACTTAAGGTACTAAAACTCAAGAGTATAACAATCGCAGAATAAAACATATGCTCAATGTACACCATCCATTAAAATATAGTATCATAGATTATGATTAACGTGGTGCCACACCATTCGCTTTTCAAAATCCCCACTTTACAAAACCACTATACACAACAAACACAAATTTGAACTTTTCCAAACAAGCAAGAACCACTAAACATCAAATAAAAAAAACAATTCAACTAAAAAAGAATAAAAAAGTCAAAAACCTAACTATAGACTGAAAACTAACCTCTCTTTTTCTTGTCATGCAAACCATTGATAGTGCAATATTCCCATCTAAACCTGTCAACATTTGAACGAACCAAAAAAAAAAATCAAATTAAGAAATGAATAAACAACACATCAAAGAGGAAATAAAACGAGAGATACGCATTGATTTTGTACTATACTATACGCACATGAAAGAGAATAACAAGAAACAGTTTCAGCTTCGTTTTTTTTCAATTGTTTCCACAATCGATGGTGCTCGTGAGTCGGTGAAGAAATTTGTATATTTATTGTGAAAGATTTGAAAGCCATTAATAGAATAAATTAGTGACACTAAATTAAAGAAACCCAATTACGTCTTGGTTCGATGAATCTCAATTTTCATACCAAGTTTGTTAGTTTGTTTTTGTTGCCCAGATAAATAAGGCAATCTGTGACATTTTGAGAAAATTAATCAGAAAATATATATATATAGTTATTTATTTTAAATTATTAGACAAATATTTATTCCTATTAAGTATATAAAAAATAAATTTTTAGGATTGATAAAAAATAAAATATTTGTTAATGATAAATATGAAATAGTGTGACAAATATATATGTCATTTATATTTTAAAAAATACATATAAATATTTTTTTTGTTCATAATCAAAATAAAGATATAGATCAATATGAAATGATATTATTTAAAATTCCGCACAAACCTTATGTGAAATATGTAAAATATTTATTGACCTTATTTGAATTTTTTAAAATATGTTTTTGTTTAAGCTTTTTAACTTTTTAACAAATTTTGTTGTGACTGTGTTATTTCATCTCTAATATGTTTAAATGATTTGTTTTGATATAAGTATTTAATTTTTAATTAAATTATTCGTAATCAAAATATAATTTATATATAATTAAAAATACTTTAATTAAATGATAAAAGATCTTTTCAAAGGAATTCAAGATCATGTATTTAAAAATATTTTTTTTATCATTAATATTTGATTTACTGGATCGACTAATTTAATTTATTTTTTTGTTTTAACAAAAACAAACTCAACTCACATTATTAAATAAAAGTATTAGAGGGTAATTTAGTATTTGTCATTTGTAAATATTTTCATTAGGGCCTATGTGGCATTCTTATTTGTGTATAAATAGGTGTACTAGGTTTACATTTATTATAATCCAATTCCTTCGATCATTAGTGACAGCTTTTAGCATTTATTACTTTTCTCTCTTTTTCCTCAATTTCATCACCTTGCACTAACAAATTGGTATCTAGAGCACTTGGTTTATTCTGAAATTCTGGGAAACACGAGTGATAGTGAACTGTGTGTTTGATTTTTGAATCTTGAACAAAAATCTGAAACAGAATCACACTGATTCTGTGGGTTTGGGAAACACTGAGTGAGAAAATCTGAGATCTGAGTTTTTGTGCAAGGTTTAAGATGAATGGAGGCAGTAGTTTGAACACTAAACTTTCAGTTTTTGATGGCAAAAACTGGAACAGATGGAAGATACAAATGCGTGTGCTGTTTGGTGCTCAGGATGTTCTGGATCTTGTTTCTGAAGGTTATGTTCCAGCTGCAGCAGGTGCTACTGAAGAACAAAAATCAGAAGAAAGAGCTACGAGGAAGAGGGATCAGAAAGCTCTGTTCTTTATCCATCAGTGTGTGGATGAAAATGTGTTTGAGAAGATTGTTGATTCGACGACGTCGAAAGGGGCATGGGATATACTGACCAGATGTTATGGTGGTGACGTGTCAGTAAAGAAGGTAAAGCTTCAGTCCCTGCGAAAACAATATGAAAATCTCAGCATGAAGAACAGTGAGAAAGTTTCTGAGTACATCTCCAGAATGTTTCTGATCACTAATGAGATGAAGGCTTGTGGAGAAACACTTTCTGAACAGGTAATCATAGAAAAGATTCTGAGGTCACTTACTCCTCAGTTTGATTACATTGTTGTTTCTATTGAACATTCTAAAAATCTGGAAACCATGAGAATAGAAGAGTTGCAAAGCAGTCTAGAAGCGCAAGAGTTGCGTCTGACTGAAAGAACTTCTAAGAGGGAAGTGGAGCAAGCTCTGAAAGCTTCTTTTGTCAAGAAGGACCAGAAGCAGAATAGACATGGTGATAAATTCCAGAAGTCGGAAACCTCAACTTCTGATGAAAAGAAATATCATAAGGGAAAGGAAAGGTATGACAAGAAGAAGGTTCAATGTTACTGTTGTAAACAGTTTGGCCATTTTGCCAGAGACTGTAGAAACAGAGGAAGGAAATCAGAAGAAGCAAATATAGCCAGAGAAGATTCTGATGATGAACCTGTGCTACTGATGGCTTCTGATTCTGATGGAAACTGTTCAGGAGATTGGTGGTATATGGACACTGGCTGTTCAAACCACTTGACTGGAAACAAACAATGGCTGATATACTTTGACTCCAGAAGGAGAACAAAGATCAGATGTGCTGATGATAAGTACCTTAATGCAGAAGGTATGGGAAATGTTAGAGTCAGAGTGAAGAATGGAAGAAACATTCTGATCAAAGACGTTTGGTATGTTCCT